CGGGAATCTTTTTTTCTTCATATATCCCCAATATTTTGCCAATATATCAGTGATATTTCAGATTTCATTGTAGAGTATATATTTAAAATTTAAAATTTTAGAATATTATTAAAAGCTTTTCAATATTTCATTAAAATCATCATAACTTTTTAAAAAGAAGAGATGGCTAAAGACCAAAAGGGAGACAAAGAGAAACATACCTATTATACTCTTAATTTTTCCTATTTGATTTATATATCTTTACTACGGTTTTGGGCCTTAAATGTGCAATTATATTTCTTTTATTAACTAATTCCATGTTTCTAGAAAACTTTTCTGATTTTTTAGATTTTCCAAATATCTTAGTAAAATTAGCAAAATACCTCTGAAATTTCTCCAACTCTACATGGTGAAATGTTCATGGATACCGAAACTACAAACCATGGTCCTAAGTAGCATAAATGTCTTGGTCATTATCTTATTAATAACTAGTACTTTTATATGTGGACTTCTTGAAGTCTGTTTGATCTACAGGGACATGCACATGCATAAGGGCTCATGAAACTAGAAGCTTTTCAGATTTGATGGCTGCTCCCTGCTGCTTGACACTTGATTTACTCCCTAGGCTCCATTTGGTAAGAGTGCAAATACAATGTTCAGTGTACATACAAATGTGCAAGGTTCATGAAAATGACAGCACTTGTATTTTCACTGAACATATTTGTATTTACCCACTTCCCAAGCGCAGCCCTAGTTACAAAGTGTGTCATGGATGAGGAAATTCTTATGCCTTCAGGCTTTTTCCTTTTATGATATTGATCCTTGAAATGTTAAGGAAAATAATAAAATCCTCTGACTTTGTTAGTTTGACAAGAGGAAAAAACTTGCAAACCCTTCTGGTTTTGTAGCACTATAGTGTAGAGCATCTGGTTATGTCTTCACTGAGAAAGGTTTGGAATTGAGCTGGATGATTCATTTATTTTAGTTTTAAAGGAAAGATGAAAATGAAATGTATGCTGGGTTTGAAGGAAAAAAACATAGGATTATGTTTTTCTTACTAAAGGTAATCTGACCGTCCTGTATTGAAAAATTTTCTACAGGGTTAGTTTTGAGTTGGAACCCGGAGCAGTTGGAAACACAACTGACTTCAGGGAAGCAAATAAGAGGATTGAATGGGGCTTAAAAAAGGCAAGATCTTTTTATCAGTGCTTTGACCTTCCTTTCTTCCCAATAAATGGTTAGACTATTGAAGAGGGCTCATTTCGACTTATACAAGCTTTGTTCCTTGCACTGTATTAAATATTGATCAATATGTTCCAGGTTGTTGGTGGATCAGAACATACTCTACGTGCAAAGCTCACACTTTCACAGGAATCACATGGTAAGACTTCCTCTTTCTGATTATAGCTTCATACACATATGTGCTGCATGCTTACTATGGTTTCTTGGATCACTGTTTTAAAGGTGTGCGAGGCTTACGCCTGGAGGTGTGCCTCCAGGCGAGGTGCTCCCAAAACGCCCTGAGGCATATGCCAGAGGCGCTGACACCTCTGAGGCGGCGTGCTAGAGGCATACGCCTCTTGCGCTTTGATGCGCCTCATGCACATCTTATATAAAAAGACAGAAAAAAAAAGAAAAAAAGAAAAAAGACGGAAAGGAAAGGAAAGAAAAAGAATGGGAAGGGAAAGAAAAAGAAAGAGAAGAAAAAAAGAGAAGGAAAGAAAAGAAAAGGAGAGGGAAGGGAAGAAAAGATAAGGGGAAAGAAAGTGGTTTGCCCTTTCAACTAATGTTATGCATCTTTATTCTTCTTAACATAAAAGATTTTTATTAAAAATTAAAAAAAAAAAAAGAGATCCCCCCTTCCTCTTCATCCTCCTAACCCTCTCCTCTTAAGGAGGCTTATGCTTCCTTGTGTTCGGGAGGCTTACACCTCTAGGTAGTGGAATGCCTCGCATCACACCTCCGCGTTTTAAAACATTGTCTTGGATTTCTTGTAAATTATTGATTGTAATTTGTTTCTGTACAGGAAATATCATGAGGGAAGCTGGACCAGTAAGCATGACCTTCGCAATACCTATGTACAATGCTTCCAGGCTTCAGGTGAAGTAGTCTTTCAATAATTGCAATCTGCATTATCTACCTACCTACCTACCTACCCACCTACCTATATGTTTCCATTACACCAAGGCAATGACCCCCTTATATGTGAGYTCGGATCTCCTGGAAGCAAAAACTCTACACACACATAATCCAACTGCACATGGGGAATATCGCCCATACATGTATGTTAAATTCATAGGTAGATGTAGCTGGATACCCATGCTTGCAGGAGATTCCGGTGCTTTGTGTGTATGTATGTATGTGTTCGTGAGTTTATGAAGTAAAGGTGCACTATAGTGATTGTGTTTTCTAATATTCAGTACAGATGATCTTCCATGGTATGGCACGTTATTTGGATTTTGTAGCCCTTTATACCCAAGTTTTTGCCATTTTTAGCATTATTCTCTTGAGGAATTTCCCTCTGTTTTTGAGTTGATTGGGATATTTTTTTGTTTCATTTTTCTTCTTTAGTTTGTGTCTGTAAACATATATTCATAGGTTCTCCCCCTTTGACCAATGTAAATATACTTAAAAATCCATTTTGGAACTCCTTTTCCTTCTTGGTTTCTGTTTTGCTGTGTTTCAGTCTTTTTCTTATAGGTCATGCCCATTAAATTTTGTATCTTCTTTTTATCTTTTGTTAGCACATAGTTCTAAAGTTACTGAAACAAATAAAATGAACAAAAATGGAGGCTTGTGGTAATCTGTGACAGAGGTATTTTCCATTGTTTATAGTAGCTGAGGTAATTTTCTTGGACACTATTTGTCAAATTGTTTTTCTTTTTCTTTTTCCCCTCTTGAAGAATTAATTTAGTAGCCAAAGTGTGTCTTTTGTATTTTTTCTTGTCATTGTTCAGCTTTATGTACTAATTTCATTTGTTTTTACTTGAAGAATTTACCTTTTTAATAAAAAAAAGTTAGCATATCAATACACTTTAAGGTGTTAATGTTGTTTCGCAAGGGTTTCTTGAGTGTTTCTTAGTAATTACAACTTTGTGCAATACCGTGTTTTTTTATCAAGTTTTTCTGAAGTATGTTCCTAGTTGGGGATTCTAGTGAAAAAACCTACTTTCATAATTAGAGGTTCTGGACTCCAAAATTCATCCAATGACTATGTGGAGGTGAGGATTTGTTGGTTAATATGGGGCATGTCAATTACATGATGGAATCAATTCTGATACCAATGGCCTTAACATTAGATTTTACCCCTCCTTTTTTATCTCCTTCAGTATGCTGAAGTACCATATTAATATTATGTAATTATTTTCTTCTATGAATGCTTCTCAAGGTGCCTAGTTCCCTTGCTTTATTGATGCAGGTAAGATACCTACAGATAGAAAAGAAGACCAAGACCCACAATCCATATCGATGGGTAAGATATGTGACACAAGCAAATTCATACGTTGCTCGCATATGACCTTTTTCATTTTTTTTCTTTTCCATTTCTGTCTTATTTTTCTTCTTAAGTGCATCAAAATGGTTAGAAAGGTTAAATGAGAAAGAAACTTGCTTTCAGTTACAATTTGAGAACTATATTAAGCAATATAGTACTTGTTCAGTTCATTTTAAGAGCTATATTGACTCACTAAACCCTCCTACTAACTGGTTGACTGACCACTCGCTCTTTAGTTTATTCTACCACCGCACTGGTGTGACCTATTTAGTCATAGATGCACACGTAGCTGCATTGCCTGCATTAACATGTGACGCAGCTAGCTGAAACTTGTATGTTCATTTTTTTTCCTTGGGCTCAGTTTGGAAGGAGTATAAATACCAATATGCAGAGTGTAAAACCTTGTATCTTGTATTATTTTGTTATGTATTTCTACTATATATATTTGTATTTGTACTCTTTCCAAACTAAGCCTTGGGGAATCTTGGGCCAATGTCTTGAGGTGTAAATATKACCAAACAGATGACAACTAAACGATGCTTGGGCACTCTATTTGTCCTTACTAGACAACCATTATTTTAAATTTTAGTGTAATTTTGGTTTCCTGGTTATGGCAAAAGACATGAAATATGTGAAATTTTGGGTGAATTTATTTCGGCCAAAATTTCGGCAAATATTCCAAAATTCTGGGATTTCGATGATCAATCTTGCCTGAAATTTTGGATATACAATTAACACTAATAAAATCAATAAATATAAATATTATGAATTCATGATGCTGGAAAGGTGTGATTCTGGGATATTTGTGGGCTATTGTGCGATTTTGGTGATAGCTATAATCCTTTAGCAGGAGGTTTAACTCTCTTGAGCTAGGCTTATATGGCTTCTATAATATCAGTCAAGCTCACAATGAAAACTATTTGCTTTGGAAGAAGTAGATTTTTCAGATCAAATGATCTGGATTATTTGATATCAGCAGCGAGACGGGATCTGCTCCTCACACTTGGTTGCCTCACATGCACATCCATCGTGCATTGGGAACATTTCCTGTGAATAATAACTTAAAAGTATGGGAGATGTTCTCAATGCATGGTAGGATGTGCGTGTGAGGCGCCGCCCTCTGTGAGGGGGGGGGGGAGGAAGTGTGGGCAGCAACTGAGGCAGCAGCTGTAGCAACTTTCCTAGGTCTCATCTCAAACCAAATGGGTTGCCTGGATTCTGCTGGGAGAGTATCCTTTCGTATAAAAAAAAGCTGCCAAATCTGAGATAAATCTCGACAGATCGGTGTTTTTCAAGCATTGGATACGATTTCATCTTGCTTTAT